GCGCCACGTCGGCCTTCCTTCCAGCAGCGCCCCTTTGGGGGAGGATTGGGGCGCGGATAGGGGCAGGAGGGCGGAGGACGGAGAGGACGGAGGAAGGATGCGGAGGGGGAAGGGGGGTCAGGAGGAGGAGCGGGGGACGAGTGAGGGGGGAGGACTGGGAGCAGGAGGAGCAGCAGAAGGAGTAGGTCTAGAGTAAGCACAGAATGCATCAGCCATGCTGAAATGCACCCTCCCGTCCCATGTCCCCTCATCATTAGTCCCTGCAGGCATTCCTGTTCACTGTGGGAAACACCTCCTTGCAAGAGCCTCGGAAGCGCAACCATTGATTGTCCATATGTTCTTCAACATGTTTCCGCCCCTGAGGGCTTCGCTGGAGGTCTCTTCGGGCGTCTCCTGGAGGCGTCTTGGGGTCTCTTGGAGAATCGTAGGGGGATATCGGATTGGATTTTTTTGGAGCTTGTCGGGCGGTCGTTGAATTGTCATGTGGCATCTTGCAGCCCTTGTTGGGCGGTTCTTCGCTGTCGTGGAGCTTCGGGCGCCGAAATGTGTGTTCTTGGGGCTGTCTCGGGGCGCTCTTGGGGCCTTCCTGGGCTGTCTTTGGAGCTCTTGGGTGCTCTCTGAAGCCTTATCAAGGCGATCTGAAGCCGAAAAGCTTCGGAAACACAAATGGCCACGCTGGAGGTCTCTTCGGGCGTCTCCTGGAGGCTTTTTGGATCATCTCAGGGGGATCTTGGAGCTTTCTGGAGCTCGTTGGGCGGTCTTTGGATGGTCGGTGCGGCGTCTTGCAGCCCTTGCAGGGTGGTCTTTCGATGCCATCGAGCCGTCCGGAAGCTGAAAAGTTCGGTCTTGAGGCTGTCTCGGGACGCTCTTTGGGTCGTCTAAGGTACTTCTGGGCGCTCTCTGAAGCAGCCGAGTCGATCTGACTTCGAAGAACTTTGAATGCAAAAACACATGAATCGCTTATGTCTGTATACACATGTTCCTCTTCCTATATTTTTACAAGTCCGGGCGGGAGGGAAACCCGTCCCCCCCACCCCCAAAACCAGACTCCCGGGATCTGGGGCTTTGGGACCCTTCGGACGGGCCTCGAAGCGGCCCCCCGGGCCTCGCAGGGCGTTTTGCCAAGCCTTCGCAGCACACCTAGGGCGATCAGGGGGGTCATTGGAGACGTCCTGGAGAACCCTAAGACAGCACAACAGCGCTCCAAGAAGCCGTCATACCCCGAAAGATCGCTCCAAAACATACCAAGAGGCTTCCAAGAGCACCCCCAAGAAGGCCCCAAGAGGGAAACATCATTGATTTAATGTAGGTTTTTGGTGAATTTGGGGTTCTCCTCTTTTCTGCTTCCCGACGCTCCAAGACAGCGGTCTTCTGGGCGTCCGAAGTCGCCTGGGAGGCTCCAAAATCGCCCCACAGCCATCCGAAGGAGCTTCCAGGCAGTCCAAGAGAGCCCCAAAAGGCACACGAGGGGTCCAAAATGGCCCTAAGAGAGCCCCATGGCGGCCCAAGATGGCCCCAAGACACCCTCCGAAGCATTCCAAATCGTGACCGGGGCGTTCAGGGAGACCGCGGTTAGAGGCAGGTTGGCCTCAGGAAGCCCCAGAGGCCCCCAGAACACGCCCAGGAGGCCTCCAGAAGGCTTTAAGAAAGCTTGAGAACTTTGGTGAGGCTCCCAGAGGCTCTCCAAGGAGGAGCCTCCGCAAAAAGAGCTGAGGAGGATGGGGAGAATGCCAGGGTATGGCGAGAATGAGGAACAATAAGCATGGATAAAGGATAGCGAACAACATTATTATAACGGCGATGCCAGAAAAGGCAGCAAGGAGTCATCGTTAAAGTGTCCGCTTGACCTTCCTGCCTTTTCCGCCTGCATAGCAATCTTCAAGGACCAAGGTGTATGGCGCGAAGCGCCACTGCAGTTTTGTATTTAGGTAGCATCTATACATACATATACAATCTATTCCATCGCATATATATATATATATATATATAGAATGTAATGTTTATTTTGGCGTTTTTCCGCTTCTGGGGGCATCTCCAGAAGCGTCTTCTGGCGTCTTCTGGTGACTTCTTGAGGACTCTGGTGGCATTTGGGGAGATCTTGTAGCCTTTTGTGACCTCGATGGGCCGGCTTAAGACGATCTTCGGCCGTCTTGTGGCCGTTTGGTCGCTGTCTTTGGCTGTCCTGGAGCCGTCAGGAGGCCGAAGAAGGGGCCGGATAGCAGGGGACGATTTGCAGACGACGCGCGCGACGGAGGGGGGGACGGCCAAGAAACCCCGAAGAAGCCTTACCGGACAGCAGGCAATCATCCTAACGCGCGCCAGCGTGCCGAGGGCACGGCGCCAGGACAAGAGCAATCCCCCAGACAGTGCTTGCACTTGTTTATCGTTTTCTTGTTCATTGTTTTGCCGATCGGCGCGGGCCCTCGCACCCCCTCTCCCCCCCCCCCCTGGAGTGGATCTTGGCTGTTTTTTTGGCGCCTGTTTCGAGCGGGTCGACTCGCCCCCATTGGGCGCACAGGCCCAGAGCTGGACCCTCCCCTCCACCCCCGCTTCCGCCCCATGTCGAGACGCCGCATGAGAAGACGCTCACTTGGGGTCTCTTGTCTCGTTTCGTTGCGTAATTGGTGTCTGGTGTTCGGAGTTCAGGCCGCGTCGCGGGCCCGTGCCGCCTCCGTGGGCGTCCCGTGGGCACTCCGCGCTCCGGGGGGGGGGGGGGGGTGCCGAGGAGGCGCCTCGTGGCCGCCTCGTGGCCGCCTCCTGGGCGCCTCGCGGGCGCCCCGCGCTTGGGGGGGCATGCCGAGCTTGCGCCGCGCTGCGTCCCGTGCCGCCTCGGCACAGCCTGCACGTCACAGCTTCCGCCCCACGGCTTCCGCCTCTCCAGCTCACTCTGCATGTAGCTTCAGTGACATAACTTGCACCACGCAGCTTGCAACGGCACAGTTTTCACACTACACAGCTCACCCGACATAGCTCTCATTGCACAACTTACACCGTATAGCTTCCATCTCCACTGTTCAATGGCGCTTCTTTTCTGGGTCCACGCTTGCGAACATGTTACAATATCATTGGAATGAGGATGACACCAATCATAATACAGATGATGCCAAGGAGGATGAGACGATGGTAATGACATTGATAGCAACAAGGAGAAGAGGTTAGTAAGGAGGAGGAGGATACTACTGATGACACTGCTGATACAAAGAAGAGGAGGGGAGGAGGAGGATGATGAGGAGGAGGAGGAAGAGGAAGCCAGTGGCACTTGAGGTCAGGTTCACTCTATCCTCCTCGTTCCTCCTCCCTTCCCTTTTCCTCCTCCCTCCTCCCTCCTACCCCCTCTCTCCTTCCTCCTCCCTCCTCCCTCTCTCCTCCTTCCTTCCTATTTCATTTGATAGAGCATCGATAAAAAGGGGCGGTCTGAATCAGCGTTGCCCCTCTAGAGTCCAAACTTCCAGCATCTGCCAAGGCTTTCACCCAGGGCGCTCCCACCTGACTGTTGAGGTCGGACCCTGGCGGCGCCTGTTCAGTCATTCCATTCTCGGGTCGATGTCAAAAACACTCCTCCCTCCTCCTCCTCCTCCTCCTCCCTCCTCCTCCTCCTCCTCTCTCTTCCTCTCCTCCTCTCCTCCTCCTTGCTTCTCCTCTCGTCCCTCCTCCTCCCTCCTCCTCTTCGTCCTCCTCCCTTCCTCCCGCCCTTCCTCCCTCGCTCCCTCCCTCCCTCCCTCCCTCACCTCTCGCCTCGGTGGGGCGGGTGGCACCTCCCGTTCACGCCCGGCCGCCCCGCCCTGGGGAGACCCGCGCCGCGCCATGCGCTGCCTGCGGGCCGTGCTTCCCGCCCTCGGGGCCTGCGCGGTGGCCTCGGCCATCGGCGAGCGCGCCATCGCCGAGCACGCGGCCGGCCGCAGGTGCAGCGTCGTGCTGAACGAGGAGGACGCGCCACGGAGAAACGTCTGTCATTCACCTGGCGCGTTCCAGCTACTCGCAAAATGCCTACTCGCAAACGTCTGGAAACACGTAGTTGCCTCGACGTCATGGACCGTAGCCCCTCCCGCGGCGGATCCAGGCCATTTGCGAGTAGCTACTTTGCGAGTAGTGGAACGCGCTTGTCGAGTCATCATGATCGAAGCGGGGACGGAAAGGATGGGCATAAATGTCGACAGCACGTCCCATGGTTTTTGGACAGGAGTCGCCGTCGGTGCCGCCACGGACACCGTCCGTCAGGAACAGGGGGACGAGGAGGACGCGCCAGGGAGATAAGTCAGGGGAGGGCGAGTTGAGACAACGTTAGTTGGCCTTCGGAGGGCCCACCTTGTCGCCACGGCTGGACGCAGCTCGGAAAATTTGTGCGTTTGGACCCCAGGAGGGGTTCAGGGACCGATTTTGAGCTCCCATTGTCCCACCTCACCCTGCAAAAGTCTGCGACCGATTTCCAGGCCTTACAGGTGGGGTCCGAGAAAGTGGGGTCGGAGGATCGCGACGCATCGCTGATGCATCGCCTATGGCGGCTCGATGTGGAGCTCGATTTTCTCCACGCCAGCGGCGCCGACGCAGCGCCAACGTCGCCGATGCCGATGCATCGGCGATGCATCGGCGATGCAGCGCGATCCTCCGACCCCATCTACTCGGACCATCTTTGGGAGGTCTCTACACGAAGAAAGTCTGCGACCACTTGCGGACTGCCCCTGCGGGTTCAATCGACGCCGGGGCGTACCGGACACCCCCGCCAGGGGTTCGCTCGGCTGCAGACACGTCCCTCGTGCTCTGCCGTCGATGTATCAGAAATCCTGCCTGCGGGGTAGGGTTCACATGTGGCTGCCAAGAAAAGGGGTCCTGGAGCCAGGGGGTCGAGGTTCGAGGATCGAGGTTCGAGCCTTTTCGGGGCCTCCTGGGCGTGCCTCGTCGCCACGGCAAGCACAGCTCGAAGCACTTGCCAGGCTGGGCTCCGGGAGTGGTCAGGGTGGCACCGATGTCTAGCGGAAATCCAGCCAGAAGTGCAGCGTCGT